GTAGTTTAAGCCTACAGAATGAAACAAAAACAAGAACACGGACTACTCTGGAACACAAAACAAAATTATAACTGTAAACATAAATCATACAATAAAGTTACATACATTATAAAATACCGGTATAACAAAATATTGAAAAAATACAAAGTTAAGAACATTCATTTACAGAGAGCATCACATACTTACTGCTAGATCTTAGTCTGCTAGATCTTAGTTAAGTTAAAAATTCAGAACTTCAGAATGACTGGAAATAAACAGATCTCAATGAATAGCTTTTCCTCCCACAAGATGTTAAGTAGTAATTATCATCATCTTAAAGGCCCATCATGCCCCAGAAATGCTTTAATTTTTAATGATTAATTATATGTTTTACTACTTTTATGATAAATTATTTCGCATTTAGCACTATTTTCTTTAGGTAACAAGCATCTAAAATGCTCTAACACAATTACTTAATTTGTCACAAAATTCATGTTCGCCCTTTCTTGAGAAGTGAAAATTTATTTGTATCTGAGGCATAATGTGCCTTTAATAAAAAGCATTTAATCTGGCAGTACTTTATCTAACTTGCATTTTAAGTAGATGCTTAAACTGATAACAGGAGGATTATGTTCATTTCATGTTAATGTACAATTATTATTTCTATAAATAGATTTCAATACATTCTCAAATTTTGTATGAACTATGTTCATACTTTTAAACAGTTTTAAATATTACTAATAGATAGACTACACCTTAATGCGAAGCAAATAATGGAATGCATCTTGTACTAAAAGCTGACAAATTGAGGACCAACAATAAATGAGCCGAGTCACTAATAAACCAACATAGTGCGTTTGCGACCAGCATGGATCAAGACCAAACTATACCATATCGCTTACCAAACTATAACAAGAAGAGAAAATGATAGCGAACAGCATGGATCCTGATCAGACTGCGCGGATGCGCAGGCTGGTCTGGATCCATACTGGTCGCAAACCCATTATGTTGGTTTTGTCGTGACACGGCTCAAATGTAAGTTAACAAATGTAAAACAAAACTCAGCACATTAATTAATTAGCAATTAAATTCACATACATACATATCTGTTAGTTATTTATTCAAATTATACAAAAACAAGGGAATTTATATCTTTAGTATTCATCATAATGAGTTTATTAATGATAACCTATGAATCATGATTTTAAAGAATTACAATAATATTTTCATGAAAGAACACAAAGCTTTATGTACTGTTCAACTATTGAGATCAATTTTAGCTATAGTTCTTTATAATACTTTATATACCCAAACAATGAAACAAAATACATTTTACAAATAGTTATTAGATGAAAAATATACATTATGCTTTTTGGCGAACTAATTTCAAACATAAATTATATAATAACTTGTACTAAAAACTTATAAAAAAAAAACCTCAAACACAAACTGTGTTCTTTCTACAACATTGACAAAGCTTAAATTTTTATATCTTCAAATGAAATCAATAACAACAAAAAATCTGCATATTAATATTTTGAACAAGTACACACACACAGCCATTTACATGTACAACATCATAAACAAGAGGGCCATGATGGCCCTGAGGTCGCTCACCTGTATATAGCCCCCCCCCCCCCCCGGTCCAATTTTTACCCAAGGGCTTTTATTTGTTTATTTGAACAGACTTGGTAGACACCCATAAGAAGATGTTTCATGCAAAACATCTAAGTTCTAGCTCATTGGGTTTTTTAAAAGAAGATTTTTTAAGTTTTTACTATACACATATAGTTAAAAACAATGACACCCCTTGGGCAGGGCCAGTTTTGACCCCTGGGCTTTTATTTTGAACAAACTTTGTAGATATTTACTTAAAGATGTTTCATGCTTAATATCTAAACTCTAGTTATTTGGGTTTTTTCAAAGAAGATTTTTAAGTTTTTGCTATGTATATAAGGAAAATCAATGACCCCCGGGGCGGCCAGTTTTGACCCCAGGGCTTTTATTTGAACATACTTGGTAGACACCCATTAGAACATGTCTCATGCTAAATATCTTAGCTCTAGCTCTTTGGGTTCTTTAAAAGAAGATTTTATAAGTTTTTACTATATGCATATAAGGAAAATCAATGATCCCTGGGGCGGGCCAATTTGGACCCCAGGGCTTTTATTTGAACAAACTTGGTAGACATTCACTAGAAGATGTTTCATGCCAAATATCTAAGCTCTAGCTCTTACAGTTCTTTAAAAGAAGATTTTTTAAGTTTTTACTATATGCATATAGGGAAAATCAATGACCCCCTGGGGCGGGGCAATTTTGACCCCAGGGCTTTTATTTGAACATACTTGGTAGACATTTACTAGAAGATGTTTTATGCCAAATATCTAAGCTCTAGCTCTTACGGTTCTTTAAAAGAAGATTTTTTAAGTTTTTACTATATGCATATAGGGAAAATCAATTACCCCCAGGGCGGGGCCAATTTTGACCCACGGGCTTTTATTTGAACAAACTTGGTAGACATTCACTAGAAGATGTTTCATGCAAATATCTAAGCTCTAGCTCTTTGGGTTCTTTAAAAAGAAGATTTTTTTAAGTTTTTACTTTATGCATATAGGGAAAATCAATGACCCCCTGGGGCGGGGCCAATTTTGACCCCAGGGCTTTTTATTTGAACAAACTTGGTAGACATTCACTAGAAGATGTTTCATGCCAAATATCTAAGCTCTAGCTCTTACAGTTCTTTAAAAGAAGATTTTTTAAGTGTTTACTATATGCATATAGGGAAAATCAATGACCCCCCCCAGGGCGGGGCCAATTTTGACCCCAGGGCTTTTATTTGAACAAACTTGGTAGACACTCACTAGAAGATGTTCCATGCCAAATATCTTAGCTCTAGCTCTTACAGTTCTTTAAAAGAAGATTTTTTAAGTTTTTACTATATGCATATAGGGAAAATCAATGACCCCCCGGGGCGGGGCCAATTTTGACCCCAGGGCTTTTATTTGAACAAACTTGGTAGACACTCATTAGAAGATGTTTCATGCCAAATATCTAAGCTCTAGCTCTTAGGGTTGTTTAAAAGAAGATATTTATAGATTTTTCTTTCGGTTGCCATGGCAACCAGAGTTCTGCATGGAATTAAATTCTTTGAACAATTTTTAAAGGTGACCACCAAAGGAACATTCCTGTGAAGTTTGGATGAAATTGGCTCAGTGGTTTATGAGGAGATGTCATTTAAAGCAAAAGTTTACGGACGGACGACGGACGGACGCCGGACGAAAAGCGATCACAAAAGCTCACCCTGTCACTTTGTGACAGGTGAGCTAAAAATAAATATACTCTTTTAACACAACGGAATTTAGAACACGATGAATTCATCAAAATTTGTATGGAGATAGATGTATCTGAAATAATGAATGATATATCCAATCTCTGATTACATTGAAGAACATAATGTATAATACATGAATGATTTCATATAATTGGGTAGAAGACAGAATTTAGCACTTCAATATTGTGTTACATTTTACAGCTTTATACCCGCAACAATTATTGGCCATTTTTTGTGTGCAAGACTATAATACCTTATTTAACTTTTCAGTGTATGACTGTTCAAGCAGCTTGTATGTATAGAAGCAGAAATTTTGTCTAGCACCAAGGCGTTATCACTTCTTCCCTAAGTCTCATCAAAATGCATCTATCATACACGTAACACACAATTTAATATAATTATAACTAGCTATAAACAGCCTGATCTATAATAAACAAATCAAATGCTTCCAAAATAACAATAACACTTGTGTTTCTTGTTTCTGTGTTCCAACAATATACATAGAATACTAAAATATTAATGAAAGTCTGAAAGGTTTGCATACAGCAAAAATTTCTTGAACATCATGAATGTTTCAACAGAGGCAAATTGCTACAATCTGCTATGTTAAAGGTTTTAACCAATCATATCAATTCTTCCATTGTTGTGTTTAAAGTGTTAACCAATCACATCATTGCTTTCATTACTCTGCTTAAAGTTTTAACCAATCATATCATTTCTTTTTAAAGAATCAAACAATGTTTCTTGCATAACAAAATGCTACTGCAGGGACTTATTAAAATGCTCAACCTACTTTTGACTCCAATAGCACAGTTCTTTCAAGGAAATATGTAAACAAAAGAGGTGCTGAATGTCACACTAACTGCATGAATATAATTACCGATAAGATAATAATTACACAAGTTCTACACATATGTATGCATAACACGTGTACATGTTGTGTGTAAACATAATTCATGTAAGATTTATTAGATATGTTTAAGGATATTGACATATTTACTAATATATCTTAACAAAATGTGTATTCCTTTATTATTTACTTAATCAAACTTAATATCAAAAACAATAGCATCAACAACTTAAACATCAAAGCAACATTTAGACAAAAATAAACAACTAAACAATTTCTAAGCAAGATTCTCTTTATCATAAAAAAATCCATTACAGAAACAGCACAGATATTATAGCAAAATAGTCAATAAAAAACAAGACTACTAATAAAGAGGGTGCAGTAATTTGTGAATAAAAAAAATACCATTAGGTTAGTAGGTTAACAGTACAAGAAACATGTACCAAAATGAAAAAAAAAATATCACTAAGAAACAAAACAATGATTTAATATTTACAAGAAGGAAATGTGATTTCTTTTCAGCAAAAAATAATTTCGTTCAAACACTTTTTGAAAAAAAATACAAATTTCTCTGACCCCAATTTGCCCGATCATATACCTCTTTAAAATTTGTTTTTTCAAAAAAAAGGGTTTTTTTATCTCTTTTCATTAGAAAAAAAATTTAAACCCCAAAAAAAGTAAATGAAAACAATAATTTCCAATTTTTTCAAAATTTTCATGAAATTTTTTAATTTTTCATTATTTGGGTAAAGAAAGTAAAAATTTCTGAAAAACTAAACAAAACAACAGTTATAAGAAAAACTACAAAAATAAGTTAAAAAAAATTATAAAACAAAATAATAACTAACATGAACACTCAACTCATTTTGCAAATAAAAATAAAACAACTCAGGGATTTAACATTTGTACACAATATCTATATCGCAAATAACTTATCTTTTGATAATCTAAAGACTAGAAAAGAAGCTGAAATTATTACATTAATACAAGTTAATACAAAATAAAGGCATTGATCACAACCTTTTAACTTGAAAAGAAGGGAATAATTTAATTAATGAAAAATAATCAAATCAGTAAAAATTTTATGTTAAATAGCTCAAATTTATCATTATGTATTCCAATATTTTCATTAAATACTATCTCGTTTGACTTTTCTTTCCTTTCCCTAAAAACAATAACTTACATAAACATATTGTTCACCATAAATGGTCGGAACCATATGGATTTTGTTTTTCTGGAGTTATTTGCTGAAAGATTGCTTTCCATTCCGATATCGTCAAAGTTATCTCCGTCCGACTCCAAGTCAACGTTAATGTCAATGCTGTTGTGACTAGGAAGAACGTTCGTACGAGACTTCGACGATGATGACCAGCTGGAAGACAAGATTTCATATTCTGGTGGTGTACTGTAATGGCGAGTTCTTGGTCTACCCTTGAGTTGCTGTCGAGCGTTCATGTGCGAAAACCGTCAGCTGTTTTCTTGTTCCTGCTGTTTCGCTGTTTTACCAGATAAAACATCATCGACTTCAAATGGCGAGACTTCCGGTAGAGGTTCCCGCCAGTACTGAACGTGACTAAACTCACTGGCTCTGCTACAAGGTATTTTGTGGAGGGGAGGGAAGAAATGGTCCGCAACATCTGTAAGTTTGGTATATCTAAAAACAAAAACAAAAAAAATAAAAAAACAGATAATTTCAGCAAAACTTCTATTTACACATTTGAATTAAAATCAATCTTCTTCACACTTTGAAACAAATGAAAATGTTTAATGAATTTGATATTTTCTGTTGACAATACATTTGGATTTGTATGTATCATGTCACTTATAATTTTAAATCCATAAATTTATATGCTCTTAATTAATTCACGCACTGAATAATAAAGTGATAACCAAAACGTTTCAATAACATCATAGTGCACACATTTTTCTTCAAAACATCTTAATAACTTTTTAACAAAACAAATTTAAAAAAAACACCATTCATTTACTTTTTAAAAGAAAATTTCATGTAAAACTAAAAAATAAAAACTTCCAATTCATAATATTTTTTGTAAACTGTATGCATTCCACATTTGTTCAAGGCTTCAATCTTAAAGCATCACGTCTTACATTCATTACAAATTAGTATGTAAATAATAAATGTTAATAAAGTACTTACGAGGTTTGAAAGGTGTATGATAATTCATGCTTGATTTCACCGTATGGGTTGATAGTGAAGATTCGGGAAATAGGAATGTGGATTGCCTTGTACGCATACACATCCTGTTAAAACATTCATTTACATAATTCTAATTCAGATCCTTTAATCATTAAAAGTCAACAGAAAAAATGAGCAGTTAATTATATCAACTATCTGTTATTCAACTTAAAGATCCTGTAACCCATTTTTTTCATGGTTTTATTTCATAAATATGATGCTCAAATTAAGATTTGTCAATCTTGTAAGTTCAAATAAGCATTATCTATAAAGATATTACCCAATTTAACATTTCGCGTAAAAAAAGGGAGGTAATTAGAAATTTATTTTCTATAAATTCTAAGTCAAATTTTCCAATAAGAAATGAATGCATGTAACTTATTGATTAAATATAATGTGCACAAATATTTGCAGTACACATTTTACATATTCTTGGATGTTTGAAAATTGTTTTATTTGCATTATATATACATATATAATATTTTGCAAGTGTGTGATACACACAGTAACAATATCAATCACAAAACATACAGGATCTTTAAGAATTCAAACAATATTTTCTTATATAATTCAAGTTCTTTGATAAGCCTGTGGGTTTGAAAGTAATACATTAAACTAATATGTTATGTTAAAACTCCTTTTTAAAAAAACAAGAGGGCCATGATCATGAACATCTAAGTTCTAGCTCATTGGGTTTTTTAAAAGAAGATTTTTTAAGTTTTTACTATACACATATAGTTAAAAACAATGACACCCCTGGGGCAGGGCCAGTTTTGACCCCGGGCTTTTATTTGAACAAACTTTGTAGATATTTACTTAAAAATGTTTCATGTATAATATCTAAACTCAAGCTATTTGGGTTTTTTCAAAGAAGATTTTTAAGTTTTTGCTATACACATATAAGGAAAATCAATGACCCCTGGGGCGGGCCAGTTTTGACCCCAGGGCTTTTATTTGAACATACTTGGTAGACACCCATTAGAACATGTTTCATGCTAAATATCTTAACTCTAGCTCTTTGAGTTCTTTAAAAGAAGATTTTTTAAGTTTTTACTATATGCATATATGGAAAATCAATCACCCCCTAGGGCGGGGCCAATTTTGACCCTAGAGCTTTCATTTGAACAAACTTGGTAGACACTCATTAGAAGATGTTTCATGCTAAATATCTTAGCTCTAGCTCTTTGGGTTCTTTAAAAGAAGATTTTTTAAGTTTTTACTATATGCATATAGGGAAAATCTATGACCCCCTGGGACAGGGCCAATTTTGACCCCAGGGCTTTTATTTGAACAAACTTGGTAGACATTCACTAGAAGATGTTTCATGTCAAATATCTAAGCTCTAGCTCTTACGGTTCTTTAAAAGAAGATTTTTTAAGTTTTTACTATATGCATATAGGGAAAATCAATGACCCCCCGGGGCGGGGCCAATTTTGACCCCAGGGCTTTTATTTGAACAAACTTGGTAGACACTTATTAGAAGATATTTCATGTCAAATATCTTAGCTCTAGCTCTTTGGGTTCTTCAAAAGAAGATTTTTTAAGTTTTTACTATATGCATATAGGGAAAATCTATGACCCCCTGGGGCAGGGCCAATTTTGACCTCAGGGCTTTTATTTGAACAAACTTGGTAGACACTCATTAAAAGATGTTTCATGCTAAATATCTTAGCTCTAGCTCTTTGGGTTCTTTAAAAGAAGATTTTTAAGTTTTTATTATATATGGATATAGGGAAAATCAATGACCCCCTGGGGCGGGGCCAATTTTGACCCCAGGGCTTTTATTTGAACAAACTTGGTAGATATTCACTAGAAGATGTTTCATGTAAAATATCTAAGCTCTAGCTCTTACGGTTCTTTAAAAGAAGATTTTTAAGTTTTTACTATATGCATATAGGGAAAATCAATGACCCCCCGGGCCGGGGCCAATTTTGACCCCAGGGCTTTTATTTGAACAAACTTGGTAGACACTCACTAGAAGATGTTTCGTGCCAAATGTCTTAGCTCTAGCTCTTTGGGTTCTTTAAAAGAAGATTTTTTAAGTTTTTACTATATGCATATAGGGAAAATCAATGACCCCCTGGGGCCTGGCCAATTTTGACCCTAGGGCTTTTATTTGAACAAACTTGGTAGACACTCATTAGAAGATGTTTCATGCCAAATATCTAAGCTCTAGCTCTTATGGTTGTTTAAAAGAAGATATTTAAAGTTTTTTCTTTTGGTTGCCATGGCAACCAGAGTTCTGCATGAAATGGAATTCTTTGAACAATCTTGATAGAGCTTCATACAAAGAGTATTCCTGCCAAGTTTCATTAACATTGGCCTTGCGGTATCATAGAATATTAGAAGATGTCCTTTGAATATTTAAAATGTGGACGGACGACGGACGCCATTTGGTTGGCCATCCTAAAAGCTCACCTGCACTTTGTGCAAGGTGAGCTAATAAATAAAGACAAAACAACACCTACAGTTATAAATCAATGGGTTAGTATAATACTGCATGTTTGTAACATAGCTTTTCATTGGATAATCATGACATTTATACACAGCTGCTGTCTATATATGAAGTAATCACTTTTTTCTCTAAAGAAAAAGTTTCCTGCATTATAAATCCGTTATAAAGAATTTTGACAAGTTATGGCCATATATAAACAGTTGTTTGCAATATAACCCTTGCCTAGCGACTCAGGTTATATTATATACAAACAACCTGTCCAAAATCTTTACAACTAATAACATAAAAATAATTTCAGAAAAATAACTTACGTTGACTTTATTGCCAAATCCGGCGTAGAAGGGATTATACTTCTCGGGGAATAGCGAGGCAACATCAGATAGACAACTTATCTTGAACTCTTCTGGTTTACGCTCTATCACTTCTCTGTTATAAAAAAGATCTTGCATTTTTTTCTCAATTTTTATACATTACTTTTATCTATATCCACACATTTGTTTCTATAATCTTTCAATAGTAACTTTGTATACATTTTAGTAACAAAATTGCTCTGTTTTAGCTATGAAATTGTCCATCACTAATGTATTGGGATTCAATATCAAAATCCTTAAATTTAGTACATGTAATAAATTATATGGTCAAAGAAAAGGTTAAACTTACTTATGGAAAGCACTGATAAGTGAGGTGGGTGATAGAAGAAGGGGACCTTCTGGTAGAGTCATCTCCCCTTGTTTTATATTCTGCAGTAAATCTTTGGTGAGTTTTGATTGGCCAATAGCCCTGGCAGAGAGGTAGAGAAACTTGTATCCATTACCGGCAATACTGCTGTAGAGTTGAGCCACGCCCGACTGAGACCAGTCTCTCCCAACAACTGGCAATATTTGACCGAGTACATCAGATCTGAAAGTAAAATTCAGATTTGAACTGAGAAATTTAATACATTTATCATCTTAAAATTTCTTTGTACAGTTATAAATGAATTAACCTTTATTACTATAAATTTAAGTTATAAATTTTTTACCTGCTTCAATTTTCAAATTATCTATTGTATATTTAAATGAAAGCACAAAAGGTGGCATAGTTCTGCAAAAGTGTTTGGCTGACTTAACTTTCTTCATTAGTATATCTATAGTTCTATATCTATTAGTCTATAAGAAAAAGTATTCGAATAGACACAAAAGGGCACTAATTATGCAAAAATAACTTGCAAGGTTATCTGCACACTAGATAGTGAGCATATATGCCAAGTTTTTAAATTAATATATGATAAAAGGTTAACCAACACCAACAAGAGGGTTATAATAATTGCCCCACTTTTTTTCAACAAAAAAATGATATTAAAACTTTAACTTACTTAGTAATAGTTCCGTCTATATCTGAAACAATAATTTTATCATTGTATTTCCACAGGTAAATGTGCGAGTGACATCTTTTAGTGCCCTGATACTGTGTCGTCACAGAGTATGTGACCTCATTCTGTCCAGGTCTAAGGTTCAACTGTTTCTGTAATAATAATATTCCAATATGTTAACAATTCATCAAATTAACAGAACATTTATCAAAAAATAACTTAAAACAAGAATCTGAGAAAATCTGGCACATTTATACCACTTAACACTGTATTTTAATGCTCTGACAATTCTTCACTCTTCATTTTCATATATATTTTAAAAGCATTCAATAACCAAGATTTTGTACTGCTCCTGGTCAGAAAGATGCTTATTACAGCTTAGATCAAAATTTATAAAGCAGGTAGACCAAACTTTCATGAAATTACAACAGATTTACTTTACTCTATTGCTAACTTTTAGGCATACATGTATATAAATATACATTTGTCTATTAGTTTTAATAGTAAACTATTCTACCTTCCAATTGATAAGCAATAAACAGTTAACATAACTAACCATTTGGTCAGAGGATAATCTCAGTGATTTTTTAAAGACTTTTCTAGTTTTATGTAACTGCCGTTTCATTTTCAAAGGTTCAGTTCTATCAGAGCCTTCAGTATCCCCTTCTGAAGACGAATGATCTCTCTCTACTGTTAATCTAAATAAATGAAAACCAATGATTAATATATCTATCTTATTATGGATAATCTTTATATATGTAGCAGCAATAAAACTTTTTCCATCCATAACAGATGACCATTCTTTCTAAAAATGCCTTTAACAAATGGAGTTTAAAATATAATAGCTCTCTAATAATTGATGATAACAAATTATTCAACATCCAAATATTAGAAATTATTTCTAACTTAGTGTGAATGGCTACAATTAAACAAATAATCGAGTACTCTATTGAATGTTAAATTCATTATTAAGCTAAGAATATTAAATTCATCACTGTTGCTATATTCACCTAGTTGAAAGAACTATTAAGGATTTCAATGTTGAGCGATTTACAATTTCCGCCACAATTTAAAGTATTAGCAATTTACCTATCAACTTGTTTCACTTTCTTCGGGCTCTCTGTGATACTAGATTGACAAGACGGAACACTTTCCACACTTGTTACATTCACCGCAGAATCACCCTCCTGTAATGTTACAGCATGCAATTACAACAAAATGAAAATTAGTTTACTTTCATGTAAATTTTGTAAAAGAAAAACAAAGATATATCCCTACATGAGACACACTGCCATAGATCTTCAAATTAATTTCACATCTTAAACACCTGAAAAGTTTAACAGATGCTGGTTTTTGGAAAATTTCTTCTATCTCCTGACAGTTAAATATAACTAAGCTCTTACATAAATGTTTTTGTACATCAGTACAAAATGTATATCTTTAATAAAAAATTTAATTTTTTCATTATTGCTGAAAAACCCTACTTAAAAATATAAATAAGCTAAGCACTTACAGATTTAGGTCCGGTGATTTCTGACTCAGATGTGGTCAAGGTAACATGGACAGGGGACTGTACTGAAGTTGTGGGATCTGTGGCAGCCCGCCGCCATGAGAACCAAGAGTAACTTCCCTTCTTTTCCTTCTTTTTAGGCATGTGCTGAGATACTAGACTTTTTACAACTTCCTGTAATTGGTTTAAATCAATAATGAAAAAGAGGGACCAATTGATGCAATTTCTTTTCTTCTTTTTTTTTTTGTAAGTAACTAATTGTCACCCCATAGACTTTTTAAAACAAATCAAAGATATCAGTTTTTTAAGGCTATGTATAATGTTAAGAGATATGCTTTATGTATTTGACTTGTCAAATTTGACTAATTTCCTCTGTTTAGTATATAACTTGCTAAATATCTAACTAACTAAACAAAATGCAAAGTAATACATTTTAGCTCTACTGGTAACATGTAAGATATAAAAATATGTCAAAAAAATAAAAAAATGTTTTTTAAAAACTAGGTCAAACTTGTTGAATCTATCAATTAGCCTAGTTCCTCTCTGAAAATGTATGTATTTTTTTACCCAGTTATTTTATGTAAATCTTTCGAAAAATATATCTGCTCCATAAAATAATTATGTCTTTATATACACATGTACATATTTTACTTTATAAAACAATAATAGACCAATAATCTTATTTTATAACTTTTATTTCAAATGTGGTGTATATTAAAGTAGACGTTTTTATCATATCAACTGATGAAGCTTACTAATTTAGAAGCGAAACATGTTTTGATAAACTGTGTTGGTATGTGATCTTTTTATCATATGAGATACAGATAACAAAATTCTGTATGTTAAGATATATACCTCAGATAGGTCTTTCTGGAAAGCCACTTGTGATAGTATAATAGGAGCTGCTGTCTGCCAGTTGTAATAATTATCCTCTATCTTCACTACCAGATCTGGATTTGACAACATAGCAGGGTTCGCTGACAAGTCATCGAATGTTACAATCATCGACATAAACTTCCCGAGAGTTACACCCTCGGCTTCAGACAATCCGCCACACAGGGATAGAGAATATGTGCCGAGGGATTTGATTTCTGATACGAGGACATTAGGTCCACCAATAGCGCCCTCTACAGAGTGAGGAGACTGTGGTAGTGACGCTCCACGACCTGACTCTACGTCTTCATCTTTCTCTATTGCCTTGAAATGTGTGTTGGAAAACCTGGAATATACAAAATTTACGTTTGACATAACATTCATCATTCAATTTTACTACATTTATCGGTAGATATAATATTTCTACATCATTGTTTAAAATTTACCCCCATTATCATATGATTATACCACACAACCTTCTAGCAGCAATCAATTGCACCCATGCAACCAGTGCAGACCAAGATCACAGACCAACACATACATGTCCTGGTCTACACAATTCCTTATTCATATTTTATTTAAAAAATTTCCTAAGAAACAATGAAAGATTTTGTACAGATTGAATGATTTGTCCAGATCTAAAAATCCGTTTAAGATATATAACATGGTAAGGGTAAATTGAATTGTATGTCTCTCCAATATAAAGCTTACATTAAATCTAAACCCGAGATGTGTCATTATAAACTGAACCAGTTACCTTTTAGGAAAGTATAGTTTAGCCGTCTCTTCATCCATGTCTTTTATATTAAGATCATCAAGATAGATTCCCTCTTCCTCTGGTTTATGTCGAAAATTCTTCGTCTTTCTCATAAACTGGAACAGCCCACCAGATCCTTTGTTCTTGTCATCTGTAGGTTAAACATATATCTTAATTAGATTGTATACTTTCACAATTTTGAGCTTAAAAATGCACATAAGGAAAAGATATGGCTATATTAACATTTCAGAATAAATATTGTAACCAGAATGGCATACTGTATATCATTTACTGTGACAGTAAAAGCCATCAATTTACTAATACAGAATATTAAAGCAATTCTAAATCCTAGGACAAAACATGTTATTTCACTTAAAATTTTTCCTGTCTATAAAAATACTAAAAATTTTCTCAAGTTCACAATAGTAACTAGACTAGTGTGTTTTTGTGATCATAGTCACAATGATAAAAGAGTTTAAGTTAAAACACCAGATGTCATGCCAGGAACCTGATATTATATCAAAAATTAACCCACAAGTCATATAACCTAACCAAAGAGTCAAATAACCTACACATATTCTTCATGTATATGTTTGTGGTGTGTGGTAGAGAATTCATCATTGATATCAAATTCCTGCATTTGAGTTACTTTTATTTAGTACATTATATATGAAAATCTCACTGAACCTGGATCACTTGTTTGATGTACCAATGTCTTGATGTTGTCCTCAGTAACAGATCGGCGTGGCATAGCCCCCCACTCCCACATCGTATCATCCTCCTCAGACTCTAGTAACCGGTTTTGTTCCAGAGATTTCTGACGGTCTACCTCTGTGTCACTTTTCGGGGAATGTGGGCGGCTACTATTGGGACTGTATAATAAAAGAATTAATCACAAATTTGTAAATAATTTCTAATACAACCAAAAAGCACATTTTAATCTGCTTACAAGAACTGACATGGGATATTATGATTTAACCATAGAAGTATTTCAGTCTCTTATATACAAGTTACAATAGGAAGCATATTAACATACCGTAAAATTCCTATTAAATGCCCCCCGGGGCTAAACATTTTCCAAAAGGGGACTATTATTACAACAACGTTTTTTCCAAAATCCAAACATCATTTGAAATACACTTAGTGTTAACAAGTGTTGGTAATAACATTAAAATGTGTTGATTTTAAAGTTCATGTGATACATTTTTGTGTTTACTATGAAATAATATGGATTCTAAAGGATTTGACTAAAATTACTGATTTATTAAAGAGTTCAACACTGATGAGCAGATTTTTTTCCATATCAAAAAGCCTGGGGGGGGGGGGGGGGCTTTTATTAGGGGAGGGGCGTTTATTAGGAATTTTACGGTTTTTGCATATAAACCACCAGTAAGTTTGGCCATTAAGTCAATTATCTCTATATCCTGTATGTACTCACCTTGCTAACGGAGACAGATCTGTGTCGCTAAAAGGATGTGAATTCAGATAACCAAACACTTCATGAGCACTTGCCCACTCGTTTGTTCTATCAAACTTGCTCTCTTCCACAGCTGGTAAACTGATTGATTTAGACATTGACCCACATGTCATGTTTTTAGTCAATATACGTAGTTCGTCATCAGTGGAAACATCTTCCAATTCAAAAATTTCTTCTTCATTTTCACCGGGTGTTACATGATTATTGTTTGCACTGTCTACTTTATGTTTATTTTTCTTTCTTTTCCGTCTTTTTCGTTTACTTTTGTTGTGTTCATTTTCTTCTTTTACTTCCTTAATGTCTAAATCAGCGTCTCTGGAATGTTCACTTTTAACAGTTGATTCACTCTTTGCAGAATCTAAATGTTGTCTAGAATTAGGCATATCCTCACTACTGTGGTCTTTTGGTGTGTCTGACCCCATTACAAACTTGACCTTCAACTCGTTTTCAACCTTGACATCTTGATTACTGACCTCCAAGTCTTCAGTAGCATTTTCACACTGCTCGCGCAGCATTTTAACCCCTCGTTCCATGATATCAGAGTCATACTGTAGTGGGGAGGTGGCCAGATGCGGGGAAAGCTCCTACAAATACAAGAATTGCATCAAAATTACATTTTAACAAACTAAAATCACCTATTTATGTCTGAAAAAGTTAAATAATACTATGGTTACACTCTGTTTAAAAGAACCAATGACAGAAGAGACAAGGTAAAAATCTTAAGAAAACAGCTCAAGCTATCACAGATTAAGACTATTAGTTATGAAGGGTAAAAAAAGAAAACAAGGCATCATAAAATGATAACCTCATTAGTTTGTAACACCAGAGATAAGTCAAAATGATCTTCCCTGTTTAGGAGCCATATGACCTAAATATTGTGTTGGTGCTCCTTAAAACCAAAACAAACAAAACAAAAATTCTTGAATTCAGGAATAATCCTTACCTGCTCTGGATCTTCATGTTCCTCGACGAAGAATGCCTCTCCCCGTTCTCCCAGCTTCATCTGTATATCCACCGGCTCTCCATTAATCTCAATATCAACCTATTACATATATATATAACTCTTTGTTAAATATTATCCCCAATAGTTATGCTACTCAGTCAGTACATACTATGCATTATACTATTAATACTATATGGCCAACAGTGGATCAGATTTGAAGGTTTGATTGCTTAGATTAATAGAGATTCAACCAATTTATCTACCTCATTCTGCTTAAACTGTCAACCTCTCTCTCTCTCTTGTAGAGATAATAGAAACGATAAATGACATGAAAAAAAGAAAGCAATACAACAATCTTCCCTACTTAGAACAATAAAGGGAAGGCACAGATTCCAAGGTAGGCACAGATTCCTATGACGTGCCTTGACAAAAGAGAAAATAGGTCACAGCAATATACATGTATAATGTCTTATATTTTCTGTTATTTGTGAAGGTTAAAAATACTGTGCCAGAACATTTAGACAAACAGATATACCAAACAGTACAAGCATTTGGTTAGACGTTTTGTATTCGATATACCAGGTACATGTAGACCAAGAAATGTCTAAACTATGAAAAATACTGCATTATCTCATCTCCTTCCTGTTTCTGCTTCAAAATTGAACAGAAAATGTAATTAACCATAATGTAGGTATATGTTTACTATACAAGATAACCTAGGGGCAATAGTTTTATTAGCCAAAATATAACAATACAGTTCTCAATACAATATACCAAATCTTGGACAATATCCAAAACAATGGTATGCCAATTGCATTGGATTTATTTGTACATATCAAAGACTAAGTGCGAAAAGATTGTAATGCTTTTTTTATTTCCTGAAAGTAACGAGTTTTTGTTTTTTCCCAATTCCTAGAAAATTTGTGTCTATCACTTAACCTTTGCACCCAAACAAAATACTAAAAGCTAGAGGTATAAACAAAATTTTAAATTGCATTATAATGATGATACGTACCACTTTCTCTCGAGAACGTAGGACTCCAAGCTTGCCGAAGCGCACGTGAAATGGAGACGATTTGTATGAACCATCTTCTTGTTGGATTATAATAGTATCAATAGCTCCGGTAAGTGTTGCTGCATTGATTTCCTGGTAGAAACCTTTGACGTTTGAAAATAATTTGCCCACATAACTAAAATAGCTCATTCTCTGTGCACGTGACAAATGTTGGGCTTACGTCTTTACCTCAATGCAGGCCTGAGGTCAACTTTTAACTTTCTGAAGAAAAAAAATAAGAAAATTTGAATAAAAATAATATAACAACAATTAAGTTCAAGCTCTTTTTTTCTAAAAAGTTATTTTTGCAGTATTCTAAAATGTCATTAATATCATCTAGATCTACTGTACCAACTTTCCTATAATGAGAAACTGCTATAGAGTAATTTCACCACATGAAACACCAGCATGAGAGTGGGTGAAAAATACACCAGTACCTGAATATCGGCCAAATATTTGTACAGAATAATCCCAATTTCTTATATTCAATTTACACAAGTTAACATACATGTAACAAGCTTTCCTGGATTACTAACCAGTATAATTTACCAATTTTTCTGCAAGTGACCAACTACTAATCCCAGTGATTTCTGAATCAACCATGAGATTCAAATGACCATTCAAATCTATTGCCCGAGAGAATTTACGCCTAGCCCCAAGATCAAACTGGCGACACCCGGATTAATAATCTGGCTACTGAGCTAAGTGGGTGGAGTTCAGGGTTCAAAAACCAAACCCCACGATAAATTAACTATTTACTTATACATGCACTATACTTCTCAGAAGAATATTTAATCAAATTGCACTTACATGTACCAAGGTTTAATAAAATCTCAATCCTTTTCAACAGTAATTAAATGAAATCTAAGATGAACTTAAACATTAACTTTCAATCTCTTGTTTTAACTGATAATAACATTTATCTGTATCTTAATCTAATTCAGGTGCAATATTTTTTGCTATTTTAAGTGATTAATGCTTTACCTATAAATAGATTAGCCATCACTATTTGAATAACGTCATTTCAGATCATGTGATAGTGAGGTTTAGGTCACATGATTTCACTGGTGTAAGAAATCGAAATTATAGACCCATTGTTTGTACTTGTATATATAGTGTATACAAATATATACAAACATACATAAAGTACATTGAATAGGATTTAAACCGACTACTATTGGCTACAAGCTAATGGATAGATCACCTTATCGTACGACTATGATACCATATTAGGTCATTGAACTCTTTATACTGTTTAGCTAGCACTGGGTTGTAAACAATAAAGTATTGTAGAAAAACTGTTAAACAGTCAGACACAATAACAGTTTTACATCAACAAAAACATGTACAAGTAATACCGAATAGTTTTAGTACTTTTTATATTACATGACAATAACAATATGGATCAATATCACACATACATGTAATCTTGTTGGACATTTGTTTATTTGAGTATGTATTGGTTATCATAAGTCTAGACTTGCAATGATGACTGTTTCTATAAATAGTATACTTAACTTTAATTAAATCTACATTTATAAAATCTAAACAAAATTTCAGTTATTATTAAAGAACATAGTTTAAAAGGCCGATTTTTCCATCGCTGCATCCCATTTGTAGAGAATTGTAATAGATTAATATATAAATCATCATAAAATAAAAAAATATTATTTTCATATGCATGAGTAACGTTTGTAGTTGTAAGCCTGTTATGAATGAAAACTTGCATCCCATTTATTTGTTTTCAGTATAGAAAATTGTGAGAGATATATAAATAAATCATCATAAAATAAAAACATATTTATATGCCTAAGTAAACATCAGTGTAATTGTGAGCCTGTATGAATGAAAACTTGATAGATGTAGGTGAGGCAGAAAACTAGTTCATACAATAAAACTCGGTGAGCCAGTTAGGGAAAAACAGACTGAAAATAGCACGTCTGTTTACATTTATATGTCAACATATAGCTAGTTTATAAAAACCTCCCGATAAGATTGAACAGCCAGGGTGGAATTTTTATATCATACTTACTTATGTTTAATAAAGGAAAAAAAATGACGCCATATTTCTAAGATCTTGTAAATTACATTCCAAGTTGTTATTTTTTTCATTATTTTTGGCAAAACAAAGACAAAGAAAATGCAAATTTATTAACTTCATTCTGAAGAGATTTGTCTTGAATATCAACATCATTACCAAAAATCCAACAAAATACCAAAAGTCATTCACCAGCAATATACTTTAATACTGTACAAAATTCCCTCAAAAAGTAAGTTAGAAACCAGGATTCAGCAATGTCACCCTAAATATTTTAAATGGACTTGTTGATCTAATCTGGACAAAAATTTGCTTGTTTTCTACAATTCTGTATAAAATTCCCTCAAAAAGTAAGTTAGAAACCAGGATTCAGCAATGCCTAGATATTCTAAATGATCTGGACAAAAATTTGCTTGTTTTCTACAATTTTAAGTCACATCTACACTGTAAAAGGTCATATTTTACTGGTGGAGGGAGACCTCAGGTGCCCTCTCCCTGCATTATTTCAAGCTCATGCTGGCACCTGAGTGGATGCACCGAGACCATCTGACCATCTGTTAGCTAGATTGATGGACAAAAAACATTTATCATTTTTTTACGGACAATTTCAAATTATAAACAGACTAAATACAGTAAGGGCTGCCGCAGCCCCAGCACAGTGTAACAGCAGCCAGCCCCAGCCCCTTGGCGGCAGCCCGGTCACACATGTACCAAACAGTCCAGCAGTAACAGCACGGATAAGCCAGCTAATCTAAGTCTGAAATGGTTGCATTGGTACCAACATATAGATTATATACATGTAATAAAAATAAGTTTGAATCAGTCATATAATTAATTTATGTGTATTTGAGCAAAATTATGGGCCACTGAACCTATAGGCTACTTTTTTAAGTGTTAATCATGACATTTGTTTTTCCCTCCTTAAATGAAACAGTAAATTACAATATGCTTATATGTTGTATACAGCAGGTAACCCAAAAATATACATGATAAAAATTCCCGACTATATGACTGAAATACTGTTGGGAAAAGGCGTAAAATGGAACAAACAAACAAACAAACATAAAAATTCCATTTTATAGCCTTTATTCAATGTTCTCATTGCCTGAAGGGTGTAAATATTTTTTAAATTAGATCTTGAAACACCTATAACTAGCTATAACTAATAATTTTCATGACAATAACTTTACAAATTTCATTATTTGGATAGATCCGTTTTTGGCAAGAGATCTTTGTCGTTAACAACTTTTATGTTAAAATTCCACATACAAGGCAGGGGTCACTCACTTGTGCATTAAAATGTTGATTATAAACATTTTTGGCCCAATTTCAAATGTAAGAGATTGAGGCATTATTATAACACTTTAAACCCTCTAGTTAAATAAAGACTACACTGTACTGTGTGAGATGGTGTACTTATCCAATCAATGCAAAAAAACACTAACAACAAGTTGCAACAAAGACTGTCATAAAATGATAAACCTTAAAGCAGCACAACTACAATCTGTTGTAATTTTTATATAACTTCATTAAAAAGTGCTCTAAATAGTTCAAACAATTAAACTTTGCTTAAAACACAAAACCTAAACTTTACAAATTAAAAAAAAAACTATTATTTGTCAAAATATTAAGAAAAAAAACTAAGCCCGTTCTCCATAAATAAAAGCAATAATGAGAGAAAATTATCATAACCCATAATTGTAAAATTTCTGTCATATATCTTGCATAAAACATTAACTATGAATATTAAATTATAAATATTCTTAACATTTATTTGAGTTATAAGTTAACTCAGTACTATGTTTTGTAGAAAAAAACAACAACTTTGTCTGTAGTTATGCAGCTTTAAAATAGTAAAATCACTTTAATCTGGTCTAGATAATCTTTCAACTATTTAACAATCATTACTGGCATATAACCACAAAGAACCTGCCCAAATAAAGAACTAGGTTATGAGGTTATAGCCTTGACAAAACATAACAAAATGTAAATAAACATATCTGTTAATACCGTACATACAATCAGAGCAAAAATACGTTCACAGGCTTAAAATTCTTTCAATACGTAGTCAAGATTAGTCTGAGAAGGTCATGAACTTAAATGCATGTGACCGAGTTAGACTAGTTTGAACAAACTACTGTAAATTTCCTTTGCATTTAAAGGAAAATTTCAATCAATTCAAAAGTCCATTATTCAATAATACTTTCAAAGGACAGTAACTGTAAGTCCTTGGCAAATTGGTATTGGTACATGTAGATAGAAAAGACCTGTCCATAACTTGGCCAAAAATAAATTTAGGATTATCAGCCCTTCTGAAATGGCATCCTTTTTTGACAATAAACATGTATCCCAGTGTGAAGTGAATATTTTTGATAGTTTGTGAGAACATGCACGTAAGCAAATAGGTTGACCAATGCCTAAAACCAAAACAGCTTCAATTTTTTTTCTTTGGAAAGTGAAGCTAATATGAAAGCTATGACTTGCGGCTGTTCATGAAATATTTTACATTTTGTAATAACATCTTCCATTATAATTAATATATTGTCCATATCTAACAGGGGGAAAAATGCAGGAAAGTTTTCATTTTTAAGAATGTACAGCTGTAAAATGTGACAGCACTTTTTTTGAAAATGACAATTTGCATCCATGATGGAAACAAAGTTTTGATCACTTAGCAATATTATTCTAATTTATACATACATAAATTTTTCGATTTTGTTACTTGTTTTTTCTCCATTGACTGGATTATTACACTGTTTTACACACATAAAATGTATACTATAATAGATGGTCAAAAGTGTTATAATAATGTCTCAATCTGTTACATTTTGAAATTGAGCCAAAAATGTTTATGTTCAACATTTTAATGCTCAAGTGATTGTTATGATAAAAAGTTAATTTCAGATTTGTAAATTTATGTAACAAAGGCAATTAAGTCATAGACAGGTGTCAGGGCAGATGTGCAATACTTTCATTATTAGATAATGAAGTTATATGCTTACTGTACTAATTATAAACATTGTACCCTCAAGCTATAGGACACACTGTACTGTGTGTACGCTATGTAAACCATTAATGGTAGGCAATGACTAAACTGTAAATGTCAAATATATACTTCATGCAGGGTAACATCCAATTAAACAAAATCATACATCAATCTTTTGAATCACTAAACCCTGAAAAAGCCCTAAAGCTTACTAATTTCTAATAGTAAAAACTAGTTTTGCAGATTTTGCATTTATTCAATTTCTTAATTCTGCTAAGTTACAACAAACGCTTAATTTGTACATGCAACTACATTTAGTTAAATTATAAATACTATACTGGCATGCGAGCAGTTCCCGTACAAAAATCGTAGTTACTTAAACATTATTTTTTATTACGCTCACTCACCAAAATTTGAACGTTACACATAAATATTCGGCTCGTCACACACATCATGGAAATTCCATCATGTTCTAAACATAGAATAACCCTTAGTTATGAGGCCTCATATGGGGTACCGAAATTATCCATTATTTTGTATGAAGAGAAGTAGTTCCCGTACATAAAATTTAACCCATTATAATTATACAATTTTATTATATCGGACCTATTTTTCATTTATAATTGTTGAACAGACCATTTTCTAAGAGATAAATAGATGTAATTCAGGAAATAGAAAGTAGACTAAACGCGTGTATCTATTACCCGGTACCGTTACCCCCAACGCATTCACATGCGATGGCATGCTTGTATGCATGATATTTTACGCATTAAAGCCATAAAATTATTTTATATAGTAATTTTGGTCAAAATTCTGATAATTTAACAAGTTTTCATCACATTGCCTTCTTATCTGTAAACAGGTGGTATAAGTGGAAAACCCTTTAACATGCCTCACGTGTAAGTATGTTTGCGCATGCGCGCAAGGACGGAATCCCCCAGATAAAACAAGGTCACGTTTTGACAACGCACAGGTGAAAGTGATTTAAAATGAGACTTTTTATACGTACTACCGAACTGACACTTAGATTTTGTCTCGTTTATGTATCTGCTTGATTTGAAATGAATTTTTGAAGAATGCATGTAAAAATCAAGCGTTTAAATGAAAAATACGGGTACTGCTTCTGTACGGGAACTGCTCGCATGCCAGTATCATAAATAATAGAAAAAAAGTTGCAACATTCAATTTGTGAATTTTGACTTGAATTGCTACCAATTACTATTGAGTCAGTTCATTAGACATGTCTACAGAAGAAAACACTTTGAAACTAGAAATAGGTCTGAAAGGCACAACGCATTGCCCCTGCCATAAATGTTAGCACAAAAGTAATATGAATAAAGTTATTAATTTATGACAGAATAGTTGATAATGCATAAAAAAAATTGCAGTTCTTTAATATTCAGTTATTCAAAAGGTCTAAATTTTAAAACGACAGCACAAATATTTCAGTTTACATGTAGTCTATACTGGAGCATGAAAGTTGAAAAATAAAAGTAAAAAAGGTTTATACGTAAAATTAATAATTTTATTGCCAAGTAAAGCGATGATTATCACATTTGTCAGGTGACAAGGACTCATCATGCTAAACACTGACCAACTGACTTCTTGCCCATGACACACCATCTCATCATTATTTCAGGCGTAAGCCCCGCTTAACATTTGTGCAGTTATTTCAAAACTCCTTGAGGCATGACAGAGATATACGCAGAACAAGATTTTTCTCTTTGCTGACATTTGACCTCTAAATGGGACCTTGAAAGAAAGTAACTCATTATGGGCAATTAATATACATGATGATACCAAGCCTTTATCGTAATAACATTTTTCAACCTAACCAAACAAAAGGGAATAAATTTTCAGACTGTTGAGCCCCTGTAAGTGTTGAGGCCCCAACCTACTTTAGACAGATGATATAGTTATTTGGTTGAATTTTAAGAAACACCAAATGACACTGTAAAAGGTCAACTTAAGCTTTACAAGAGATCTGTTAGCCAACTGGAAAGGATTTAAACCTTAAGTGGTGAGAGATAGATAAGGGTCAGCAGCCTTGACCACTCAGCTATGGATGCCTATTCTCCCACTTAATTTCCATGACTTATAGCTTTGTATGGAGCACTTTTAGAATCTGTCAACAGAAAAATCTAGGTTTTAAAATCCTAACCTAGCCCATAACCCTCTAACCGGTTACCCTAACCTTTACCCAAAGTACTAACCCTAACCATAGAAGAAATCTGAGTGATTTGGTAGAGAAACAGAAATATTGAAGAAATAGTATTCATTTCAGAATGTTAAAAATAGCTGTGGACAGATTCTAAAGTTTAGCCACTTGACATTTCCCCTACTATTTTGGCGCTTGTGCATTGATCTAGCATTTATGTGGACAGGCTGAAGGTAAAAATCTAGGCATCACTTTCCCTCTTATTCCACACTTTCCTGCATTGTCTTATCTATTCCCTGGGGAGAAGGGATAGGGGCGGCTGCAGGTACGAGCAATTTAGACCAAAATAATTGCCATAACCTATGAAATTAAGATTATGTCCCAAAAAATGTCCATCCGACTTTTACTACACTAAAGATATGTAGTATCTCCAAATAAATTTATTTCTGCATTAAAACATACTGTACTAGGTTTCCAGTAGACCTACTCATAATTATAACTAAAATATATGAAGTTAGAGAACATACACTGGTAAAGCATAAAGTTCTACTCTATTAAAAATTATGCATTTCCTAATCAAATCTGAAATTAGTGAAAAAGATGAAAATATCCCGTGTATTCAAATATGAAACTCTTAACAATGTGACAAATTTTACACGTTCTGAAAGAAAAGATGAACTAAAAGATACATTACCTTTATTTCTCCTCCTGTATTTTCTATCTATTCCTATGCACTACATGTGTATCAATGAATGTGTATTCCTTTACCCTTTGTAAACGCCATACAACTTTCCTGACCCCAGTCAGTTGATCTCGTGACGTCAAAAGGTCAAATACAGAATGAGCTATATTTCAACAATTTGATTGGTTCATTTCCCGGTCGACTAGAAATTTGCATAATTTATATTGAGACTACAGTCAGGCGATTTGTATTGATTGATCAGAATATACGGCAAGTCTATTTGAGTAAACTTTAGTGTTAATGTCATAATTGAGTTTTTCACACACGCAGACGTACGTGGCCAAAAATATTTTTTGAAAAAGTCTTTAATATTTTAAAATGTTCGCGAATAATTACTTATGAAGCGACATAGATCTCGATAAAATCTCTGTATGAATTTGATTATATAGAGACACCGTGAACATTTATTTGCAATTTTTTCCACTAACAGAAGTGAAAATAATCTTAAACTGGGTCAAACATTTCACGCTACATTAAAACAACTTTAGGCAAGTATCCTGCAAATAGGGATTACTAATTGCTTGTTGTACAAGTTTGGGTCGTGAACCGACTTGTGAGGTCACCGTAATCTGAACAAAATACAACCGGCGCAACTCTCATTACATCTAATTCACGTTGATTACCATGTGATATTTTCGTCCTTGACTTTTGTTAAATGTGTGTGTTGTGTGTGGCACACAATCAGCCAATCACATTTCGAATCAGCGGAGGTGTGTCTCCATGTAAACAAAGTAGTTCACAATATGATTATAAAACTCGGTCGTCATTCCGTTAATCGTCTAGTCTACTTAACTTTTATTAAAGGTTTAAAGTTCATAAACTTGACACGCTGACTGAATTTTTCATGTTGTAAATATTTTCTTTTATAATAACAGTAGAAAAATAGAATCTGTCTGTGGTCCATAGAAACATGAGAAAGTTATAAAGAACAGAATGGAGTAGGCCCAATATGTATAAAATTATTATTATTGTCCAGTTTTCAAAAATAAACAGTACATTTAAATTTTTTAATGTGGATGTATGAAAAATATCTGGTACAAATTTGGATGGGTCTATCATATATTTTACAGTTTCAAAAAGATATATAAGATTTCACGAAACCGCTGTTGCGGCACAAACGAATTTTGACAAAAATTGCTGTGTTTAGTAGGTATACAGCCGCAAAGTAGTGTTACAAATTCTTTAAGGTCGCAAGGTTGCTGCAATGCCGCAGACTGATTACTCAACACGCACATTATTTCTGCGATTTTTTGACAGATGACTGTCAATACAATTGTACGGCAGACTCACAATTTCTATTGGTTCTCGTGTAAAATGTTTTGCGTTTGTCTTGCAAGGACCGCAGGTTTTCCGCACGAGTATCTTGAGGCCACTGCGGACCGTAATCAAATTATGTAAAATAACAGATAGACAAATCTGTCTAGATGGACTGCGAAATTGCCTGCGACCTTCCTACGGCACTGATTTTCTATACAAATCGTACGCACATAATTCGTGTGGCTGATGTGATAGAGGCTTAAGCAGTCATAATTAAAGAACTTACAGTAACATTCTATACAACGAACGTTTTATTGCATTTAATATGTATCTCCGGCCCAAAGTACATTCAAAATGACAACAACTTTATTCTCTTTCAAATCAATATTATATCATACATATTATATAGAAAATGTATTTAGATTTAACAATAAAAGACGTGTGTAACTTGGATTAAAATTACATATGAAGATTCAATGTAGTAATTTCGTACACAATATGCAGCTATAATGCAGGTTAGTTTGAATTAAATGACTATAGCCCTTTGTTGGGACAATTTTGTGATCGAATTGGTCAGTTTGTACGTACTACGGCCTTTTAATTAGTTGATTAGGGAAATTCATATAAATGGTGTTATCTGATTGGTTATTTATCTCGTAGCCACGACTTAGTTACTCGTGGCCACGACTTAGTTACTCGTGGCCATGACTCAACTATCTCGTGGCCACGACTTAGTAACTCGTGGCCATGACATAGTATCTCGTGTGCACGAGATAAATAAAAACACACACATGTCACCTTTGTGCCACCGTAGATTTGTATATCTGTTATTTGACATTATTTGATTACTTCGTTGGCAAGCCAAATATAGCCAAAAACAAGTTCTTTTGAATGAACTTTGGTCAGTATTTGAATATTTGCATTGGCAAAACTTAAAGACATAATTAACATACTAATTGTCCTGAAAGCTGAGCTGAGATGTTTCTGAGAACGTACATATTTTGTAAATGTATTTATTCTGTTTTATTTGTTGCTATCAGCTCGCATGTTTGTGTTTTTAATTTGGAGGCAGAGCAAAAAAAATTTCTTTGTCAGACAATATAAGACTTCAAGACATCCCAAGAAGGGGCTTGGAGCACTTCTTGATGATTGTTCGGTTGGTTTACGGCGCACCCATATATGGCGCCGAATCAGGAAAGATGTTTTTTTGCTTATCTCGATTGTAGCACACTGAAGGTCAAAACCACCTCATCTGCTGGAGCTATGATGAATATTTAGCTTTTAAATGTAAGTAAATTCCTTCAATATCAATCAATCATCTTAACTAGATTTAGTCATCAGCTAAAACTGTCATCATATCAACAGCTGTTCCAACTCTGAGTCATCGACTTTTTCCGTCTTATTTGTCTTAAAAGACACGGAAAAACCTGTTTTCAAAGACCACATCTTGTCAAGGTTACATAGATTAATGAACCATTTAGAAAGAGATCATGTTTAATTTAGAGCCATCTATGTCACATGTCATATTTCACTAATATTCTTTTGTATAACAATTGTATTGAAAAAAATATACTACTAGTATTTAGATAATTAAATACACATAGGTAATTCTGTGTAAGCTTCAGTACTAGTAAAATGATCTTGCATCACTATCTTAGGTTAATTAAGACTTTATATAATAGTTTCTGACTGAAAAAAGAAATCTTTTGAAAACAAATACAAAAACATAACCTAGTTTACTTTACCGTATGTATATGTATTATTGTTTGCTTCTATAATGAATTTGTTTACCTTTTCGTACTTATATAGAATTAATGTAGCTTTAAGATTAATTAACTTGTGGTTTACAACTGAATCATGGTTAAACAGGCATGATGCCATTACAAAAAGCTAAGCAAGTTTACAAGAGAACGACTTTATCAATACTGGTATATAAGATATAACCTGGAGAATATTTAGTAAAGTTCACAGTGGCTGTGTAACTTTATCAAGTAGGGAAATAATTCGGTCAATAGATAGCTGTTTGTCGGTGTGAATCATTTTTAACATATTCTTCCTTTTATTAAAGCTACTTTCTCATATATATATTTACAGAAAAATCTCACAAAAATATGCACGCCACAGCCGGACTCGAACCACGGTCTCTGGATTGCCGGTCCAGTATATATATAAATGGCCCATTCCTAGAATAGTGGTAGATCAACTGTGGAAGGGAAATGGTGTAGTGGTACCATGAAAACCTTCAACCCAGGGACCACTTGTTTCAGCTCTACTGGGACATAATCATATTTCCCCATTAAAGTGTGCGAAGGTTCCAGGAAGTCAATTTGAAAGTGGTATTATTAAGCTTCAATCTTTCTCCTTTAAGTGAAAATAAATATTATTGTGTTGAAACTGTTATAACCCAGCAAGATTTACACTTTACAAGGCACAACAAGAGTTAATACTTAGTAATAGTTTTGCATACTTCTTTTGTTGGGTTTAACAGCATATTCATATTATTACATTATTGAAGGGCCTATGAACATTCGAAATTTAAGATTTTTTTTTTTTTTGGGGGGGGGGGGGGAGGATTTTGTGAATTTAATGGTTACTAGACAAATGTTTTTATCTAAAAATAATGTGTTTACAAACAAGTTGATTTTCAGTTAACAGTTAACCACTTTAATAGTAAAAAGTAGGGGACCTTCAACACTGATAAAATGTATTGTCATAATAAGGAAGTAGGTCACTGAACTCTTGACTGCATTTACATAAACAAAACTAAATAAACATTTCAAGGTGTCCTGAAATTTATCTGAGATATATATAGAAATTAACCAAATTTGTCTTTCATTATTTGTCCTTTTTAAACTTGTTTGATAATAATGTCCTTAAATCAGAACTTGCTTTATGGTCAACCTGACCGACACATTACTATAAGCGTGACCTAGGTGTTTGTGTAATATTGATTACAATGATAAACTTGTATTCACCTCTGATGAACTTGTAGGGGCCTAAAAACTAAACCTACTAAAGACGATATCAAACATACAGCATTCTCATTCAGTGATGGACCCTCTTTTACCTAAACTGCACATTTTTGCTAATTTCTTCACCAAAAAAGCAGTGATGCAATAGCAAGCTTGCCATTCTGAGGGCCAATCAATAAGACTGTGGGCCAAATCATTACACCGAGGACCAAACCACATTGTTTGTTTGATAGGGTCTTACATCACACCAACACAGTATAGGTTATATGACAACATGCCAGCTTTAATGGTGGAGGACAACATTTAGTGCATTATTTTAGGCAGGAACGGGCGCTTGAGTAGAACCACCAATATTCCGTAAGCTAGCTGTATAGCTTCCTCACATGAAAGAATCCAAAGTTCCTGTCGGGATTCGAACCCACAGCAGTGAAGGGCAAGTGTAACAAAGTCCATCCAACCACAAGACAGAAGACCAAACAATTAAACAGGGGACTAAACACCAAGACTGAGGACTAAACACCAAGACCGGGGACTAAATACCAAGACTGAGGACTAAACACCAAGACTGAGGACTAAACACCAAGACTGAGGACTAAACACCAAGACTGAGGACTAAACAAAAAGACTGAGGACTAAACACCAAGACTGAGGACTAAACACCAAGACAGAAGACCAAACAATTAAACAGGGGACTAAACACCAAGACTGAGGACTAAACACCAAGACTGAGGACTAAACACCAAGACTGAGGACTAAACACCAAGACTGAGGACTAAACAAAAAGACTGAGGACTAAACACCAAGACTGAGGACTAAACACCAAGACTGGGGACTAAATACCAAGACTGAGGACTAAACACCAAGACTGAGGACTAAACA